AAAAAATGGCTCCACTGTGAGTGTCTTGCCTGTTCCAAATGTGTCAGGAAGTGATGCAAAATATTTGGCAAATCTTGAGCGTCCATTGTGCCGCTCTCTCATTGTCCACAGGAGGGCCACAGTATCTTCGTCCAAACCTTCGATAGACTCAAAAACAGACCTCTGTCCAAGGCGCCATCATATAGATCATCCGAGATTATTAAAGATTATGGGTCTCGCTCCACTGCTCAACATTTCACAAGTATCTTAACTCCCATGTACACTACATACATTTCGACCAAGCGAACATTTTGAATGTATCAGATCTCTAACATGTCCAAATACATTTACTATGCTGTGTAGCGTGGCGAGGCCCAATGAAGGGCATGAAGCATCATTTCATGAAATTTGAAATTCTCAAAAGAAAATTACAAAAGGAGAAAAAACTTCAAAAAAGACGAGAGAACAAGAGAAGACTGCAATTCCAGGTTTGTAATTTCCTCTCCAGGACCAATGGGCCTACTGTCTTCACCCGAATAGAACACCCGGTCATTATTGCTGCATCTGGACTGAAAGTTGGGCCAAATGCAGCTATAATGACCGGGCGTTCGATTCGGGTGAAGACGGTAGCTCGGTTGGTACACCAATGAGCTGTTGAAATACAGACCCAAGTTTGAATCCTGATGCAAGCATATGACCAGAACAAAATCATTCTGTATTAACTGGGGCCGCTCAGTTCTATGAGGATATCTCAAGGCCGTCACCCATTTCAAAAAGAAAAAAAGAAAAAAAAAAGAAAAAAAAACTCTTCATTGTGACCTTTGGAGTCTTCAAAGTATGAAAGGACTTTGGACTCCCAGGTGGTAGACACCTGGCGCGAGGTCCCACTAGCGAAGAGGATTGGATTAAGCTCCTGAATCTGAACGTGTTTTAAGCAGAGATGCCGAAAAGCAGTTAAGTGACGTAAGTCTCGATTTTCTGCACCTTCCCACAAGCAAGACAAAATTCAGGCGTTCAGTCAAATCCGCACCTGGAAAAGAGGGGGATGAAGGATTGGGGAGAATGGGAGTGTGGAAAGTGAGCATGCGAAAGAGAGAGAAAGGAGGATAGCACGAGGAGGAGAGGAGGAGAGGAGGAGATGAGAGGAGGAGGAGAAGGAAGAGGAGGAGAAGGAGGAGGAGGCGGTAGCAAGCACCTGGAAAAGAGGGAATGAGCGATCATGTGGAACTTGCAGCTCTAGAAAAGTGAAAAGATGAAAGAGAGGAAGGGAGGTACCACACAAAAACGGAGGTGAGGAGGAGGAGAAGCGAGAAAGTGCAAGATGACAGGAGGAGGAGGAAGAGGAGGAGAAGGACTAGGAGAAGGAAAGAAGAAAAGATGGGATGGTCTCTGCCTCAGAATCCCTGAAAGAGCCATAGCCTGACTGACAGAGGGATTTGGAAAGGCAGTAACCAAAAAAAATAAAAAATGGAAAGGCAACAACAACAACACATATAGAAGGGAAACAACAACAACAACAACAACAACAGATAGTGGACTGCACAATCACATGCTGGAAGGAACCAATCAGGTTCCAAAATGCCCAGCTACGGAACCAGTTGATCGAAGGAAAACCTGATTGGTTCCTTAGCCAGATGCTCTGGAAAACCTGGAACCTGATTGGTTCCAGGACCAGAAAAGTTGGAACCTGGAACCTGATTGGTTCCTTAGCCGAGCACCCTGGAACCTGATTGGCTACATAGCTGGACTCTCTGTAACCTGATTGATTCCTGAGCCGGACACACTGGAACATGATTGGTTCTGTAGGCGGACACTCTGGAACCTGATTGGTTCGGTAGCTAAAACATGTGGAACTCGATTCGTTCCTTAGCCGGACACTCCAAGGAACCTGATTGGTTCCTTAGCCAGACACTCTGGAACCTGGTTGGTTCCCCAGACGGACACTCCAGAACGCGAATGGAACCTGGAACCTGACTGGTTCCTTTCCAGTCTCCCTCCTTATACTCCAAAAAAGGTTCTAATATGGGACCCGAATGGAATCTGGATGGAACCTGGAACCTGACTGGAACCCCAATGGAACCTGGAACTTGGAACCTGACTGGAACCTGAAGTGGCTAAGGGACATGATTGCTTCCATTAGAGTAGTCCTTTAGAGCGAGTACCTCACCCACCCCATGGGGCTGAAGGGTACACACATATAAGTGGTAGGGCTTTTTACACCACCAGTTCTTTTCCCAGCCATTTGTCTATGACACGGCCGTGCTCTCACCTCGTCTGACGGGATGTACCAGCCTGCCGTTTTGCAAACAAGTCCAGTGCTAAAAACAACACATGCACACACACACACACACACACACACACACACACACACACACACACACACACACACACACACACACACACACACACAGGATTCTGAAAAAACTTCAAAAAAGCCATTGAGTCTCGATTTTCTGCACCTTCCCACAAGCGAGTCCAGATTCATGCATTCAGTCAAATCCACACCAACAGGCCGCGGTTGTGCACAGCCCCAAAAAACACTTCTAATTTTTTTAGCACCTCTTGTGGCATTCCTTCCGGCCCCGCCCCCCAATCGTTTTTGCGACCCACTGACCCCATTTTTGGGTGTGCGCCGCCACATCTTCCACCCGTGCTGCACGCGCGGTCCGCACGCGCACAACAAATGTGCACGCAAGTGTGTTACAAAGTCGCAAATAAATACAGCGAAGCGTCTCGTGTGGCAGGGGTAGTGGGCTTGTTACGGACTCAGCCATGGCTCGATCCCTGGTCCGCGAGTTACCACCCGCCAGGCTGCTATTTCATTTTTGAGTCTCTGATCTCCGGTGCCTGACTGTTGGCGCCCGTTCTCAATTCCCTCCCTAGGAATTTTCGGATTTCGATACTTGGCGCCAACCGGCATTCTCGCACCCAGGCTCAGCCCTTCGATTTTCAGTTCAGTCCCGAGGCAAATTGCACTTCTGCCCTCGGGACTCAACTTGAGTCCGGTACTTAAGACCGGACTGAAGCTGAGATCGGCATTCAGTTTTCAGCCTCAGTGCTTGCGCTTCAGTGTGACTTGCTGCGACATTGTGTTCAGAACCCAAGATTGCAACTTTGCGACTTTGCCACACTTTGCCACTTTGCCACTTTGTGTCTGCGTTCGTCGAGTCGTGTCGAGTCCGTGTCGAGTTGAGTGAGTGTGTGTGTGTGCTCTGAAACGGTTTTCACCTTTTGCAGTCACATATGCGGGCCCCAGAGTTCGATCCCCAGACCTTACCTTACCCGTGTACAGTATCGAGTTGACCCCTGAGTGTTTGAACTCACGACCTGTGTTTTGTTGGTTGGCTGTTGTCTGTCGTAGGCCTGTGTAGTTGTAGGGGTTCGATCTGTAGGTCTGTCGAGTAGGGGTCATAGCTGTGTAGAGGCTGTAGCTGTAGCGTTTCTGAAAGGTCAAGGTCGTAGCTGCTACAGTCCCGAAAGGCCAAGTCCACAGACTTCCAGAAGGTCCGGAAGTGGCCTTTCTCACGTTTAGTCAGAGGCAAGTGGGCAAGTGGTGAGTCCAACTTCGCTTAGTCTGCAGTACCCAGTCCCAGTCTCACTTTGCACAGTCAGCAAGTACCATGAGGGACTGTGTACACCATGGGCCCGGTGGAAAAGGGGCAGACCAACGACTCACAGAAGTATAAATCAAGAGGCAGCGCCCAGCCATTCATTCATTCGCTGTGTAAGCCACGCGGAAGCGCTGCCCCAGCGTCTTGTGCGAGGTGGTCTGCAGGTTGCCCGAAGTCGAAGTGGGCTGAAGAAAGGCAGAGTGTCCATAGGCAGTAGTAGCCGGTGGCCATAGCCGCCATAGCTAGTGTTAGGAGTCAGTGTGCGTGCACGAGTGTGTGATACAGTGAATGCATGTGGAGTATTCAGGGAGATCCGGAGTCGAGTGTGAGTGTGTGTGTGAACAGTGACCGGGAATATGAAGTTGGGAAGGAAAATTGGGCTATCAATCGCCATAGCCGGTTGAAGCGAGTTTGTATCTGAACTGTGTTCTCGCCTTGAATATCTCTGAGCCTTGTGTGGGTGCACAGCGCCAGTGTGGTTTGTCATCTGTTTGCACGCATGCAGAGCAAGAAGAAGCGAGTCCAATGGCAGCTCTCACTCCCTCCCTCTCTCACCTGACCTCGCTGCTCTGCCTCAGGCCCGTCACAGGGCTGGTCTTGTTTTTCACAGGAAAGATCTGTGCTGTCTCTCCTTCATCACACAGGGAAGAACTGCGCCTTTTGTGACCACTCAAGTGCTAAGCCCATTCTGTCATCTGTCTGTACTTGTTGTTTTTTTTTTCCCTCGAGAAAAAAAAATTGGACCATTTCTCGATTTCTGTGCGTCATCCTTGTGCAGGGCCCATGTTTATTTTCTCTGTATCGTTCCAATTTCAATGGATGTCCTAACGGGTTGTCACCAGTCTGTAATACTTCATGGAGGCAGACTTCCAAATTCAAATCATGTCATTGGATCTAACGGCACTGTCGCGTATTTGCAAATTCAAATCCTGTCATTGACTCATGGGAAAAAAAAAAAAAAAAAGAGGCAGACGGTTCAGATAAAGGATCTAGTTACACCACTCACCATCCGCCGACATTTTTAAAATTCGAAGGTATCGTGACAAATGCCATGTTCAGATTCATTCAAAATGTTGGCGGATGGCGAGTCGTACAACTAGGCCCAAAGTACCATATCCACGTTAGACCACCAGTACGCAGCCCCAGCCTTGTGGAGAAATCTTTCATCACCTACGAAAAGTTTGGAGGATGGGGGCTACCGCACCACAATGTGCTGGCAACGCCACTGGTAAAGCTTGGGGCGCAGCGAAAGGCTGCCAGGCCCGGGCATACAGGTGGTTTAAGGCAAACGGTTAAGATAGAGTACCATTTCAGACTGCAATGCTGTGTCGACACATATGAGAAGATCTTGCGGGATTTCGAGCACAACATCGCCAACTGCAATGTCTTCTGCTGCAGCAGCTCCCCTCCCAGTGTTTGTAAAAACTGCCTCATTCAAAGCCAGCACACACACACACACACACACACACACACACACACACACACACACACACACACACACACACACACACACACACACACACACACAAACACACACACACACAAACACACACACGCACACTCCTCAGCCATCAAAGTAAGTAACATGTGCTGGTTTGGTTCATCCTAATATATACAAGTTTAGAAAGCATGAATCCAGTCACATAATTAGCTAACATACAGAAATTCAGACACATGAATCAAGTCACAGAACTTGCTAGATTGACCCCAACATACCACAAATGTACTCTGCTGCAATGGACAAAGCAGCAGACTCCTGAGAAATCTGCAACGGGGATGCGTGCCTCACTGTGTAGTCAGCCATGAGTGATGTTGGTCTGTCGTTCAACCAAGCTCACTGGTAGGGCCAGGTCCCACTGGTGCTGCGTTCATCCTAACAAAGAACGGACATGACCAAGAGTATGACCAGGTTCACGCTTTTCGAGCACGAAAAATTGCGCACCGGCAGGGTCTGGCCCTTAGTGTCGAGGAAGGCCCAGCTACCGTGCTGCTATGCCCTTATTTATTAGAAAACACGAATCCGGTTCCTGCTGTCTCTTATGAGGTTTACGTGTTCTCAAACCCTGGACCTTTGTGGGGTAAAGAAGCAGATTTCCATATCCTCAAAGGACCTCTACATGTGAGAATCCAGCCACTGGATCCGTGGACCTTGTGCTGATTAGGCAACTCTAGATCTTGTAGCATACTGGCAGTCTGTCCACACGTATTGGTCAATAAGCAAAGGGACTCTCGATGTCCAGTATCCAGACTCTACCGTCTTCACCCGAATAGAACGCCCGGTGATTGTCGCTGCACCTGGACTGAAAAGTGCCCCAAATACAGCTATAATGACAGGGTGTTATATTCGGGTGAAGACGATAGATGTTGCGGTTCTGACACGGGCTTGATCCCTAGACCCCATGCTGGATGCCCAGACACTAGATGCTGTAACATCCTGGAAACCTGCCTACTACACATTGATGAATAAGCAAAGCGTTCGAACTTTGAACCCCTGATGAATACAAAATTGACGAGGTTTCAAAGAGAAAAACAAATGCGAGAGGACACTATATATTGTTGCTGTTCTTCCAGGGCTTGATCCCTGGACCTCGTGCTGGATGCCCGGACACTAGATCTAAACCCCCGATGAATACAAAATCGGCGAGGTTTCAAAGAGAAATATTGTTGCGGTTCTGCCAGGGCTTGATCCCTAGACCTCATGCTGGATGCCCAGACGCTACATTTGAACCCCTGATGAATACAAAATTGACGAGGTTTCAAAGAGAGAAACAAAAGGGTGAGGCTTGCACCTCGTTTGCGAGAGGAAATGCCCTCACTAGGATGACCACACCTGAGCAGACGGCAGAAAGTCAAGGAAGAAAAGGGTGTGGGGAGTTGGGGGGTGGAGGAAGAAGGGAGAAGGGAGAAGGGAATCTAGGTATTCTGCCTGACCTGCAGCCTGTATCTTACTGAAGACCCCTTGCTCCTTTGCCCATTCATGAAGGGCCACATCTGAAGTAACTGTTGACACCATCCCGACTGATGAATGATCACAGCTTTCTTGGCCTTGTTCATTGAGGAGTGCAAGCACTTTTGTTTTCAACCGCTCCACACGATGACGACTCTCCTTGAATATCTCACCATGCCCATTGCAGCTGCTCGGCTCACTCTTACCGTCATTTTCCTCTGTGCAAACTTTTCGATCTGTGTCAAGGGGCGATATATCAAGCACCTCTGCTTTCGGGTCACCCATCCTTCTCGCTTCCGCCTCTGCCACCTCCGCATCATCTCTGAGTTTCATGCGCTTCCACTGATGGACAGACGCTTGTGAGGCCGCCATCAGGCGTGTGTATAACAAGCTGAGAGCCTGCAACTCATTGCGTGGGCTATACGGTCCCTCTTCATTATCTTCCAGAAAGTAAGCCTCTGGCTGCCACAAAGTTCACAAACCCACCACAAATAGAGAGTCAAAGACGGTAGCACACCTACCGTCTTCCCCCGAATAGAACGCTCGTCCTCATGGATATATTTGGGGCTAGATTCAGTCTAGAATCTAGCTAGATACAGCGATAACGACCATAGTTTTTTTCTTGGTGGGGGCCCGGGGGGGGGGAGAAAGACGGTAGATCCTCTGAAGAGTCTGAACATGCCTCTATAATATAATAATTGGAACTGCAAAAGTAGTAAACACTAAATAGTAAATACTAAACACTATATTCCTAATAAAAATATGCCGGACCGGACACCGGATGCCGGACCTTCCGGTTGTATGTGGTCATCCCGGGATAACCGGAAACTCCGGAAAATTCGGACATGTCCGGATGTCCTGTCCAGATGCCTGTCAGGATGAGTATATTTTCCGGAGAAAAAAAAAAAAAAAAAAAAGAGATGTGCAGATGCAACATGCATACACACATGTCTGAAACACCTGCGCTTCAAAAAAAAAAAAAAAAGGGGCGAGGTAGGATGGATGAACCCGTTGCAAACTGACCAGCCCTGCAATGGGCTGGTCTATCCTCCCCCCGCTCCTGCACTTCTGCATTTGGGTAGGTCGTGGGTGTGTACTGTTCCATCTGGATTCGAACTCAGGTTTGTATTTTCATCAGTTCATGGGTGGTGCCCACACTGAGGGCATACTAACATGGGACCTGTCTTAAACCACCAGTTCTTCCTAAAGTCGTGCCCGTTAACGCACCACGATTTTAGGAAACGTACGGGATACTACAGGAGCGCCCAAATTCATCCGACTAGAAACGTTTCTACTCTATTCTTTTCCGCAGCCGATAGTTGGGCCAAGTACTGGTGGTTTAAATCTATCGGACTGCATTTACAGCCTGACCTGAATGTATCTGCCAGCAATCATGTCAAAATTTCTCAAAAATAAGGGGAAAAAAAAAATTGTCCTACTGTGGAATTTGTTGACTAGGCCAGCTGGTACGGGTATCCGTTCAGCCAGTGTTGAATCGCGATGTTGGCAGTTTTTTTTAACCTTTTTTTTTTTTTTTTTTTTTTTTTTGCCGTTGGCATTTTGCCAACAGCAACCAGGAAAAACGGGGAAAAAAAATGCCTGCCAAGTGGCAGGCAGAGAGAAAATTGGGGGACAGAAACTTCAGAACGTCCCCCAGTTCCATTGTAGGCGCCTGTACTGACGGGCGCCACTGTCTTTCTGAAATAGGAATCTTTTTTTTCGTTTTTTTATTTTTTTATTCTGTGTTTCTGGGGGGAATGTACTAAGTGTCTGATCCTGGTAAGATATGGGGGCGTTGGAAAGGGCAGTGCGAGGATTGAGCCCTTGCAAGGCCCTTCTTGGGCATACACACAATTATGGGCTAGGCCCCCAGCAAGCCTCATGCCCGCCCTAAGTAAAGGCGGGCCTGCATATTTGTGTGAGGACTACTTCTGCCATTTTTCATGTGTGGGGTATCAGACAGTTGCAGCACGCGCCAGTTGGTTACAGGGCAACTTGAGCCTTCCTGGCTCTTTCCAGAAGCGGCAGCTGTGTCGTACAGTTGAGCCCAGGGCTCATTCCGTAGAGGCCCTGGGCACACGCATTCAGAGGCCAACACATCACACCGCGGCCGCGGTCCAATGAGAACACGGCTTGGACGTCACACATTGGCCGTGAGTCAATGGGAACGCAGCAAACACCTCACAGGCTGCGTCGGGTGGTTGGGCGCGTCCTGGAGTTGTGCCCCCAGGCAACTATCTGCGTGGGCCTGGGAGCAGACACTTTGGCCCAACGCTAAGCTACTGGGCCCCAGTCCAGCAGGATGTAATGCCAGTGGGACCTGCCTGTAAGCGATGCCATGAAATGCAAACTCCGATCTGCTGCAAATATGGCTTGGTGATAAGAACAGTAAAAGTCATCCATACCAACTGCCCTAGCTCAGTTGGTGACAAAACCCCTGAACCAACTGTTGAAATGCAGACCAGGTGCTGAGTTCGAACTCCACTGAGAGCAGACGACTAAAATATTACAATTCTGACCTACCTAGGGCCAGTCAGCTCGACAATGATATCTCAAGGCCGTTGCCCCTTTGCAATGAACCTCACAAAATACAACTCAAAATACAACATGCAAGAGCATTTAGATAGAGCCCACACAAGCTTGAGCTATGGCCATGAACAGTGCCCATTCAAACTTCCACTCAAAAACAATAATATACAATTTAAAAAGTTCGGGCCTTAGCGGTCTGAACCGCTGCAACTCGACTCCGGTAAGAGCCCGACTCTCCCTCTCTCTGAGCTGCTTCTTTCCTCTCTCTCTCTCTCTCTCTCTCTCTCTCTCTCTCTCTCTCTCTCTCTCTCTCTCTCTCTCTNTCTCTCTCTCTCTCTCTCTAACTGTACTGCACTGTTCACCCTTGATGCTCCCCACTACTGTTCCTCTCTTCCCTATGTCCTAGATCTACCCTGAATGCTCCTGCGGCACGCCTCTCCACAAACGGGCGGCTATGACCGCCGAGCACTGTGTCCCCCTTCTCCCAGCTATGGTGGTCTTTCGCACCCAGGGGGCGCTGGTCTTCTTCTCCTTTCAACGCTATTCTTCGGCCAGGTCGCTTGTTCGCACAAGCTCCAGCAGCGCTTCCACAAATTTGCGAAATGAACTGCCCCTTTTGGCAATGTAGTCCAAGATATATAGTTGCAGTGGACTGTTTCGTGGCTGCTTCAATCTGTACTGGCCTCCTTCGGCCTCTGCCTTGCAAAATTGCTATTTTGGGAAAGTTCCCGACTTTCTTGTGAGGCTGCTGCAAAATTGTACTTTTGGGGACTGGACGTGCTCCTACAGGTACTGTACAGCACTGTAGACAAACGGCTTGCAACGCCTGATCCGACAGGCCCTAAGATTCTAATCGACGGGGGCCTCGGACTGGGATGATGTAGGGATCTGTAAACGGGACTGGAAAAGCTTGCAGTGTGAATCCATTCACCCTTAAGAAAAAGAAAAAAAGGAGTACAAGTCATCCATACCACTTCTAAACTCCAACCCGCTGCAAAAATGTGCAGTACCACGTCCAGTACGAGGGGTCCAGTACCAGGTCCAGGTCTAGGTTACCAGATTTCCTTCAGTTGTTCCCTCCATGCCTGGACAGACTTCCATTGCCATCCATCATCCGCCCAGAGATGACGGATTCTCTAGACCCCTTTTTCCACCCAGGAGAGCCATCTCTGCCCTGTTGTGGCAAAAGACCTTCGTCGACCATAATTGCAGTCAGGCACATCAAGGAAAGTCCTAATGTGCGAAAGCTCTCAGTGTGTCCAGCCTCATTTGTAGCACCATGGGTTACAGACAATGAACAGCTCCCTACATTGGATTCGAACCAACGACCCAATAGATAGGGTAAGCACTGAGCAGTGTGTGTAATCTGACTAAGATTTTCTCTGAACCGTGGATGCAAAATTTCCAAGCACATGGCTTTCCATCAGTTTGGCAAACCTTCCCCTTTTTCTTTTCTTTTTTCTTTTTTTTGGGACCATTTCCTGATTTATGCGTGCCATCCTTGTGCAGGGGCCATGCTAATCTCCTCTCTCTGTATCGTTCCAATTTGAATGGCTGTCCTGAAGGACATTCCTTTCCATTTTCATCAACTATGAAAACTCTGACGCCACACTTACGGGCTCGTTTGTTAAACCATGGGTTACAGACGATGGCGCATCTCAACACCTCTTTTTTCACATTTATTCGGCTTTTTTTGAAGTTTTTTTTTTTTTTTTAAGGAAACATCCTGATAGGGCCTGCGGTTCAGTGGTATGGTAAGAGAACCAGCAGGGCCAGGCAGGAGAATACTTATTTTTCTTCTTTAGACAATGAACTTGACTTCAGAAGCTCATATCATCATCATCATCACCCAAAAGCTCGCTATGTTCAAAATGAATGACAACATAGACAGAGACAGCAATGATGTCCAGCGACGAGGCAGTGTTGAAAGGAAGAGCACTGAGCAGGGTAACGAGAACAACTCCAAGATATAATCAATAGAAAAGATGCAATGTTCATGACTCTTCCACAGGGTCTCCTTCTCCTCAATCGCCAACTCCACATCCTATCACTGCATACCTCGTCCTCCTCCATCGCCATCTCTCTTCTGACTTCTAGCGACCTCGTTCTTCTCTCTCTTACATCGCCATACCAGACTCAGAAAAGCCTGTCCACCTGCATGAGTGGACAACACAAGGACAACGGGTATGGCGTGCAGGACAGGGAGGAAGAACAGGAAAAGAGAAAGATGGCCAGAAGCTCCTGGAAAGAAAACACCTACCTCAGTCAGTTGTAATATCCTGGAGGACTTGAGCATTCTTGCTAGAAGCATATTGTCTGCTTCTGTCTCTGCATTGTTGAGCATGTTCTCTTGATCATCATCCATATCAAATGACAAGGAAAGACCTCCCCTTGTGAGCAGCATCTGCAATCGCTCGCAAGAAATCAAAACCATCTGCTCAATGAAACTCTCATCAATTCGTCAACATTCATCCATACACTAATATTCCAACAGAAGCAAAGGAGGACAAGGGTGGGTGTCCTCAAAGAGTGGATCACAAAGCGAGAGCAAGAGTGATAGCACACATGCATGTGCGCGTGCAAGAGAGAGAGAGAGAGAGAGAGAGAGAGAGAGAGAGAGAGAGAGAGAGAGAGAGAGAGAGAGAGAGAGAGAGAGAACCTCCAGAACATGCTCTTCAGCTCTTGTGTGTGTGTGTGTGTGAGAGAGAGAGAGAGGCAGATGACTTCGTGTCTCAAGATCCTCATGTGATGCTGCAATAGGATCAGGATGTGCAAGGTTGATGTGATGGTAGAAACACTGGGCAATGGGGAGGAGATAAGTTCCAGTGGAAAAGAATGAAATTAGCTTGCTTTCTCCTCAACAGCGTGGTAAGGATTATTTGATAGTCTGGGAAGACAAAAAACTTGAAACCCAGGGGTGACGAATCTTGTTACATGCTGTGCCTGCAACAGGCTGCACGGGCCATTTTCAGGCCCGTGTCGTTTTCAGCCCGAAAGCCTGAAAACAAGGGCCTACAGGCCCTGTGTCGTTTCAGCCCAAATCAGGGCCTTTCCGGCCCTGAGTCTTTTCAGCCTGAAACTGAGGGCCATTTTCAGGCCCTCATAAGATCGACCTGCCCTGAAACTCAGGCACCAAACCAGGGTTTTAGCATAGGCCATTTTGGGCCTGTTTTCAAGACAACCCTTGGTTAAGCTTCAACGCCAGGGTCTGGCACGTTTTGGCATTGGCAAGAGCAGCCTCCTGGACGGGCCAGCACTATATAAGACTGGCCCGCCCTGCAGGCTGCAGGTAGTTCCTTGGTACTTCCCAGGCACTTCACGTGCAGTTCAGGAGGCAGGAGGTAGTCTTCAGGATTCGGCAGCAGCACTCTGGAGGAGCGCTGCAGGGGTAGTAGTAGCGCTAGCAGTAGTCTTCAGCGCTGGGCGCTAGTAGTAGCTAGAGTAGTACTGGAGAGAGAGAGAGATTGGGCGGAGGCCAGGGAGACTTACCTGCGGCGCCATAGCTCCAGCTTCGTCTTCGAGGTACCTGCAGCACAGCGCCACTTACACAGGTTAGTACCTGGCACATGAGAGAGAGAGAGTTCTTCTTCTTCCTCTTCTCAGAACACCATCTCCCTCTCACCCTCTCGCTATCTGACTTCACTGCATCAGCAGACTATGAGAGAGCGGGCTTGGTGACATTTGGATCCAGACTCGACATTGGACTTCAGACATTTGACGAGGGGTTATCTGGGACTTGTAACGAAGACTTGGTGTTGATGATATTCCCATCTTCTCCCCTCCTCCTTCGTCTGATCCCCTCCTCTTCGTCTGTGTATGGTCTGGACCTGGCCCGTTCTTCCTGTGTGTAGCGCCAGGCCCCATTCACACCTTGTGATGAGAATGATGTATGTTTGGTCTATACTGCGACATTGATTGGGCTAGTCATTGGTATTCTAGCATTCTGCTGTGCTGTCTTGCACTACGTGAGAGAGGTATGTCCCGGTCAGGTCAGGACTCGTATCTCTAAGTCTTCCACTGCGCTATAAAGCACCATTTTTGTATGTCTCAGGATGTACACTGCTTGTTGAGATTTTGCTTGCACTGCATTGTCCATTCAGTCCTTTTCATCACATTGCGGACCCTTGGTTATTTATGTACATCGCCCAACAGTAGCTGATTAGTCTTGATTGAATGATTAGAGCACACTAGTAAGCCCCCAAAATCACGATTTTGACCTCACTGCCAAAAATCGAATTTTTTTTCTTTTCTTGGATTTTGTTTTCCAACTTTTCCCGCTATTTCTGTTGTAAAAAATCGCACTAGCGCAACACCTGAAATTTCCGTTTTCGTTTTTCTTCTGAAAATTCGAAATTTCGTTGTTGGAAATCCGGAATATCTTCTTCTCGGAAATTTCGATTTCCTTTTGCAATTTCCCGTTATTTAGAAATCCGGAGTATTTTTTCCCGAAATTCGTTTTTTAAAATGGCACAGGAAATACCTCTTGCAGTTATCATTTTCCAAACTGCGCGTACTCTCATCTGAGTAATTCCAAATATTTGTTTGTAGTTTATTTTCGGAATTCTTATCGGACACTCGTCTGCAGTCTGAAAGTTCGAAATTTTTTCTCATTCATAACTTCGCACTTCAGGGGGAATTGGGAGGCCTACCGAACTTGCAAATGAGTATTTTTTTCTTTTCTCGATTTTTTTTTTGCAAAGTTTGAACTTTTCTTTTTGATTAGTGGCTCCTTATCTGGGCGATTTATCCCACCCACCCCTCCCCACCTATGTTGTTGCCCCCTCTGGTCTTATCTTCTCTATCTGACTCCGGGTACCCCCTGCGGTGGAATTGGTGAGTTGCCACATCAGCAGGGCACGTCAGCAGACCACATCAGCAGGCCACATCAGCAGACCATGTCAGCAGGACAAGTCAGCCGACAGCAGTGCCACGTCAGCAGCAGGGAGTACCACGTCAGCAGGCCCACGGCCTGGTCTATGCTCACGCGCTTGCAAACAGCCGTCATGGACCAGAAGTCCGGGGAAATGGACGAGGCCTATCAGGCCCGGATGCTGCTTCTGATTACCGAGCCAAGCAACGGTCGAATGCAGTAGCAGCCGCAGCATAGTAGAAGGCAGAGGACGCCGAGAAGGCACGTCTGTTGGCAATCGAACAGCAGCGCCAGCAAGACGAGTGCAAGGAACATGAATGTGGATGAAGCACATAAATCCAAATTGCAAAATCACACTGAAGTCCAAGTAGTCAAAGCAAGAGCAGATAGCACAATGGAAACGAGTAACCATCCATTTGAGAACGATACAGAAGAATCGTGAGTCGATGTCCAAGCCCAATCGGGCAACACCAACAGCATAACCCAATGTAGCTCTCTCTCTTGAATGGCGCCAGGCGCCCTATCTACTCTACAGCCTAACACTACAACTACAGCATGGAAGCAACCAGACAACTTGACGACCATCGAGTGATGACGTCAACACCAAATGCCGACCTCCTCTCCACCAGGTACGTCTCTCTCTTCTCCCTCACTCTCCCTTGTTATCCCACACAGCGCCCTTCACTTCCGAAGAACCACCTTCGCCCTTCACCTCCTCTGCGCCCACAGGCAGCCCAGCTATRGCCGCCAGCACCCTGCGCCCAGGCTGCGCCCTACCGCTTAGCGCCAGCCTGCCTCTACCTCAGCCTAGCGCAGCGCAGCACCTCGCAAATGCGCAGCGTGCCGGCATTGCTCGCAATGGCCAAGATCCCTGCTCACTCGCCCTCTCTGCCTATATGCCAGTGTTGCGTGTGGGCGGCCTCCCTCGAGCCTGTGCCTGGGCCCCAGTACCTGTACCCAGGCCCAATGTGGTTGGGGCCCACGAAATACAGTTGCGCCTCTTTCATCAAAGCCTGCGTCCAGATTCAGATAGTGGACCGGTTTCCGATGGGCATTTTCTGCCTCTATATCCAGCATGCAATGTCGGCCTCACGTTTATGTGCCCAGGGCCTAACCAATTCTGGGGCCCTGGTCTTGCTGCATTTGCAGAGATCCGGTACTCGGTGCACTCCAACCAACTGGCGTGCGGCAACTGTATGGACCCCACTTCGTGAAATGTTTGAACAAAGGGGCTCTCGTAGATTTGCTGGCCCGCCTTCACTTAGGGCGGGCACGAGGCATGCTGGGGGCCTTAGCCCAGAACATGTACATCACGGCAAGGCCCCTTTGAGGGCTTAATCCTCACATTCCATCCCCCTTAGCTTCGAAAGTCCGCTGAGATGCTTACTTCGCAGGTGCCTTCCCTTTTAACATCCTCTCATATTCTGCCACCACTTGAGGAGTTGTGTCAATCAGTTCCTCTCTGGTGAACCACCGATCTTCTTTTGGACTCGTATGATGCTTGAATCTGACGCGATATTCTCTCTTGGGTTTGGGAGGTCTTCCTCCATCCAGTGGCTTTGGAACAGGCATGTCTCTGTGATCCACAATGTCGTCGATGTCCACTTGGCCATCCATGGTAGGGGGCAGCATCGATCTCCTTGAAGGGAATTGATCTGTCTCAGCGAAAGGTGCAAGCTTTGAGGCATGAAAGACAGGGTGAGTGCGTAGGTGTCCAGGGATACGGATAACATAGGTAGGACCATCCATCTCGTCCCCAATTATGTCCAGGACTTCCCAGGGACCAAGATATTGAGGCATTAGTTTTCGAGAGATTCTGAATTCCTGTCCTAGCTCACTAGCCTTGACCCAAACACGTTCCCCTACCTGAAATGAGGACTGCCCACGATGTTTGTTCTCAGAAGCAATCATTGCTTGCTGAGATTTCCTGATGTGCTCGACAGCTTGTTGTAGCAACTTCTCATACTGCACACCATATTCAAGTGTGCCCGGAGTTGCAGAGGGTCGGTTCTCAGGTAGGAGGAAGTCCAGAGCTGATCTAGGCTTCCATCCCAAGTGCAGCTGGTTAGGACTGACGCCGGTACTGCTGTGTACAGCGTTGTTGTACAAGCTGGCGATGAGAGGTAATTTCTCATCCCAGTCATCCTGGCTGGGCTTGATGTAATGCCTCAGCAGGTGTTGTACAACTCTGTTCATCTGCTCGGCCTGTCCGTTTGCTTCGGGATGATTCCCTGAAGTTATCTGAAGTTGACTGCCATCTGTTCAACAGTCTTCTTCCATAGCTCACTTGTGAAGCGGACATCTCTGTCACTAACGATTGACTTTGGTAGTCCAAAATCACGCACCCAGTTGTCCATAAACAATTTGATGACATGATCAGTCCTTGCGGTCTCTGGCATGGCAATTAGTCTAGAGTACTTGGTGAATCGGTCTATGATCACAAAGATGTGCCTCTTGCCACTCCTACTGGTCACCAGGGTGTGATAGGTAAGGGCTTAAGCAACCCAAGCGGTGCTTGAGTTCGCGGCTTGTCCCGCTGATAGACCTGACAGGTCGCCACATACTTCTTTGCATCTTCTAGCATTCCGAGCCACCAAAATCGCTGTACTAGATTGACACTCGTCTTTTTGTAGCCAAAGTGTCCGGTTGCGTCATGACATTCTCCTAAGAATAAACTACGCAAACGTTCACTAGATGCAATTACTAATCTCTTAAACCCGGCCTTATCAAGAAAGAGTAGCCCATCCACCATCACAAACTCCTCTTCTGTGGCCTTATCTTTCGCCTGAAGCTTGCGTATGATGTCCATCGTGACAGGGTCTTCCTGATAGGCTCCCACCAACGATTGAGTTACTTCCTCAAATACACCAAACTCAGAAACTAGCGCCCCTAGGTAGTCTGCCCTACGTGACGGCGCATCTGCAACCTTGTTATACTCTCCCTTCAGATACTCTAGCTTGAAGTCATACTGATCTATGACCTCAATCCAGCGCTTGAGTGCATCAGAAAGAGCCGGTTGAGTCTTGATCCATTTAAGGGTTTGATGGTCAGTTCTCAAATAGAAGAACCGTCCCAACAGAAAGTGTCTCCAATGGACAAGTGCCTTGTAGAGAGCATAGAGTTCCCTTTCGTAGGTGGACTTTGCCAGTTTCTTTGATGGCATTTTCTTACTCATGTACTCAATCGGTCTCAATTTCTTCCCATCCTGCTGAGCCAGCACTGCGCCAATGCCATATTGGCTTGCGTCAGTGGTCACAATGAATGGCTTCTGAGGATCGGGCACCATG